TTGTTCTCTTTCATTTTTCATAGGCTAATGATGAAGCTACCCTATCAGTCATCGGAATGATGGAATCTTGCAACCTTCAATCCCATCTGCTTTATTTTTACCCTATCACCTAATTGTAAGATTTTTTAATATTTATTTAAACTTATTATACTCAGTATAAATTATGGTGTAAAAAATGCAGAATGTAAATAAATGATTTTATATCTTAGTTTTTACATTGTTGTAGGTTTGCTAATTTTCAAAGTATCACATGTCATGTTTTCATCTTTTTTATCTCTTATTGACAAATGATTATGAAATGGTGATTTTTAGGGTGTACTATATTATTATTATTATTATTATTGTTATTATTATTATTATTATTATTATTATTATTATTATTATTATTATTATTTACTTTCATTATTATTATTATTATTTCTATTAAAAAGATTAATTCTGCTATGTTCTTTGCATAATATGGTTTCTGTTTCAGGCTCTTCTTTCTGGATGCTCAGCTGGAGGTCTTTCTGCCATATTACACTGTGATGAATTCCGCAATTTATTACCACAAAACACTAAAGTGAAGTGCTTGAGTGACGCTGGGCTATTCATGAACGCGTAATAATTCTTCCCCTCCCCAAGTTCTTAAGAGGTTTACTCTGAGAGGGCCCACTACAAGCATCGATAATTTAAAAATACTAACTATTCGAATCGATGATACATTTCTTTATTTTTTCTGCCATGGAGAAACCTGTCCGTTGATGGCGTGGCAATCCAGGATTGCAGCCACACGGGTCGTCTTCTTAACCATGGATGACTTTTAAACACAGATCTGAGACTCAATCTGAGGATGGCATATTGAGATTGGTTCTGAAATTGCCCCGTAAGGAGTGTTTTACTCACATGTAGTACTAATCTCATGAGGCTGCATAGGGGGTGCGGGTTTTCTAAGGGTGGTTTCCCCTCCCTGCATGCCTATGATTTGTATGATTTCAGGCTGCCCTTCAAATATAACAGCCCTTTTGAAATGCAGTACGTACTAGTAGTTTGAAAAGAATGCTACAAGTATACCACGCTTGCTGTTTCTCCACCAATCTTGTTAGGCTGTGATGATTTTATAATATTCTTAGGAGATTCATGGGTTGAGGAAGTTTGATCTGTATCTTGGCAGGGCAAATCAAGAAGAAACTGAGGTTTGCAGCCATGGCTGTATCTTCTTTCCTTTACCCATTCAAATAAAATGATCTGAGCCCCATGTTTTCTAACACTCCGGTCTTGTTTTTCTTTGAACTTTTTTTTCAACTCAATGTTTTTAGTTTAGTACTTTTTTATTATCAATTAAAACTAAACTATACACATTTAGTTCAACATTTTAATTCAACACTTAGGGGTTGTTAAATAGCACTTATTATCAGTACTGTTCAGAACAAGTCTGTAGATCCATGGGGATTTCTAAGGGTGGTTGTCCATCTGAGAGTGTCAATGATTTCCCAAAATAAAAAGATCCTTAATATGTTTATAATGCATATACCATCTGTCTTTTCTTCATCAACATATCGGCAATAGGACGGGGCTCATGCAACCACTATAGTCTGTGCTTAACTGCTAATGGCACCTCAGTGACGGGTAAAACAGTGATGTTTGTTTATGTGAGTCTGTGTGCATGGATAATTGGTCTGCTGATGGCTGGGGTTCCAGACAGTAGCGAGAAGTGGTAGCCACCTTCGGTGCCTGCCCTTTAAAACTAAGATGTAGACTCATTTCTTAACCAACGATTCATTGTTCTCTTTCATTTTTCATAGGCTAATGATGAAGCTACCCTATCAGTCATCGGAATGATGGAATCTTGCAACCTTCAATCCCATCTGCTTTATTTTTACCCTATCACCTAATTGTAAGATTTTTTAATATTTATTTACACTTATTATACTCAGTATAAATTATGGTGTAAAAATGCAGAATGTAAATAAATGATTTTATATCTTAGTTTTTACATTGTTGTAGGTTTGCTAATTTTCAACGTATCACATGTCATGTTTTCTTCTTTTTTTATCTCTTATTGACAAATGATTATGAAATGGTGATTTTTAGGTTGTTAACACCATTTGCAGAGTCTATTTTGTGGTTTCAGTCCTCAAAGCCATGATGGACTTGCCTATGATATTAAATTTTACAGCAACACAAACTCACAAGGGATTCAACATTGTTAGGGTAACAACAATAACTGGCTATGTGATGTTTTAAATATCATGATATTGAGGATATTCTTCCTTGCAGTGTGCACCCTTGATTATATGCTTTGATTTTAATGAGTGTATGCATGTTACTCTATCTTAATATGTGTGAAATTAATCAAAATAAAGGGACATCTAAAAGTGATGGTGAAATTTAAACTATTTACTTTTAAAATTGTTGTGTTAATTGTAATTATTAATTATTGTAGTGATACAAATTGGATGGAGGTTTCTTCAAGTTATCCATATGAAGAATTGTGCGCGGATGTGTTGGTATGGTTTTTTGTTAGGTTTCTGTGTGCTTTAAAAAATCTCTATATTGTGTTTAATGGAAGTGAGTTGTGCCCCAAAAGAGATTTTTTGGTTTGTAGCTGGTAGAGTACAAAGGTGAATTGTTATTGTGTACTTAAAACCTTTGGTACAATTAGAATTTGTGATTTATGTGTTATGTGCAAAGGTAAGCTTTTGATTTGGTTGTACAATAGATGGAAAACTGAGTTTACACATTTTCATTAGGGTTTTTCACTTTAGGGGCATGTTTTGTTGAACACTTGAAATGTTTAATTACATCTGTGCCTTTTTCTAAAATAAAATATTTTGTTACTTTCATTTTAGCAAAACACATAGCTAAGTTGATGGCCAAGGATTTGCATTGAAATGAGTGGTGCCTCAAACACATATTTCGAGGTACAATTCTATCCTATGATCATAATGATAATCCGGTTACTTCCGTTAGGTATTCATTAGGAATAACTTTCACTGGTATCAAACATGTTTATGATACAATCCATTTATCCAATTCAGACAGCATAACTGCAATGAGTGTAAATTTAGCAATAGAAATCCACCTCATTATGGTCTAAAAGAAAAATAGGATGGCATTAAGTGTAACTTTTGGGCGATCTTTAAATGGATTTTTAATGTTTGGCCTTCACATGTGTGTTTATATTGATGCTTAAAGTTCTCCATTAGTTGTTTTTGTGAATTTTCAGTGCTATATTTTGAGAGACAAAGCCCATTTTGAACACTATTTTTAGCATTTAACTGATTTTTTGTTGCTACTGATCATATATGCTATATTTTAAATGAAATACGTTCTGTTTTGTATATTTTAGTCTGCACACCATATATGCACTGATTTAGAAAGCATTGTATGCTGTTTTTTCCAAAATCATTTACGTTCCAGGCTGTTTTTTGAAAAAAACTGCATTATTTTGGTTGAATTCCATGATATTTTATGCTCCTAAACTGGTGATGTGCTTAAAACTTAATATCATTGAAAAAATGAACATTTAGAAAGCTAATTTTTGGTGTGTACTATTTTTTCTCTAAACAATGGTGTTTATGTAGATTATATAAGACATTGGTGTAGTTTAACAAAAATTGATCCATGTTCTATTGCTCCTACCGGTTTTTAAAGAAAACTGCACCTACAGTTTCTCAAATGCTTATGAAGAAGATCTCCACCTCAAGTTATTATTATTATTATTATTATTATTATTATTATTATTATTATTATTTACTTTCATTATTATTATTTTTTCTGTTAAAAAGATTTATGCTCCTATGTTCTTTGCATAACATGGTTTCTGTTTTATGCTCTTCTTTCTCGATGCTCAGTTGGAGGTCTTGCTGCCATATTACCCTGTGATGAATTCCGCAATTTATTTCCACAAAACACTAAAGTGAATTGCTTGAGTGACGCTGGGCTATTCATGAACGAGTAATAATTCTTCCCGTCCCCAAGTTCTTAAGAAGTTTATTCTGAGAGGGCCCACTACAAGCATCGATAATTTAAAAATACTAACTATTCGAATCGATGATACATTTCTTTATTTCGTCTGCCATGGGGAAACCTGTCCGTTGATGGCGTGGCAATCCAGGATTGCAGCCACACGGGTCGTCTTCTTAACCATGGATGACTTTTAAACACAGATCTGAGACTCAATCTGAGGATGGCATATTGAGATTGGTTCTCAAATTGCCCCGTAAGGAGTGTTTTACTCACATGTAGTACTAATCTCATGAGGCTGCAGAGGGGGTGTGGGTTTTCTAAGGGTGGTTTCCCCTCCCTGCATGCCTATGATTTGCATGATTTCAGGCTGCCCTTCAAATATAACAGCCCTTTCGAAATGCAGTACGTACTAGTAGTTTGAAAAGAATGCTACAAGTATACCACGCTTGCTGTTTCTCCACCAATCTTGTTAGGCTGTGATGATATTATAATATTCTTAGGAGATTCATGGGTTGAGGAAGTTTGATCTGGTGACGATGACTGCATAGAGTTTTATGGGTAGATGAAATCTGTGCCGTATCTTGGCAGGGCAAATGCAGATGAAACTGAGAAATGCAGCCATGGCGGTCTTTTTCTTTCACCGTCTAACATTAAAGGATCTGAGCCTCCATAGTTTCTTACAATTATTACTCCGTATATACGGAGTAATCAACTTCTCTGCCTTCATTACACCCTCTCCTCCTCAAACCAAACACACCTTTACCATTTGGAGTTTTGGTCAAAGAAGAAATGAACATTGAATGAGGTTTGCAGAGAGACTTTTGTTTCTTGAAGGGCGGTTGACCCTCTCTGCTATGCCATTGATTTCATCTCCAAAAATTAACAGCCCTTTTGTGGATTGGAAGACGTACTTCAGGTTCTGTTGTCCTGATGCTTACTTCCTGTTTCCATTTGTGATGATGATGATGATGATTATGATAATGATTTCAACAACAACAACAATAATTACAATAATGATCTTCCGCTCTTTTCTCTTATACTTTTGTACACCTGTATCCTGAGGCTATGATGAAAATGGTCACTTTGTCGCTGACCCAATTGATTAGGATTGGGTCAACACATACTGTAATGTGGCGGGGCAGGCATGCCAACGAGCATCTCTGCAGCCATTGCGTGTCGGAACTCAGAACAATCATCCCCAGCACTCAAATGAATTGATGATGTCAAAGGGCATGCGCTATGCCAACCAAGTAATATTTTACTATTAAACTTCCCACTTTTCTTTAGAAAGTTAAACTTGGGACGGAGGGTGTAT